TCAGCGCAGCGTAACAACCAGCACGTATGTATTCGAATTGGCGAATATGTACAGCATATGGAATTTTAAAACAAGAGAATAATGAATAGAGCAACGAATAGAGTATCAGTCATGTTCATCATACCCAGACAGTTTGGTGAAGAGATGTTTAACAGTTTGTCGCACTACTCTCACTACGTCGAGATTGTCAAGTAGAGCAGCTTGGCTGAAGGTCTTCCCGGAACCGGAAATTTTGGCGCCTGGGAAATGCAACTAGTCCCTTTAGGTCTAGGCTGTCTAGTGGTGAAAAGATGTTTAACAGTTTGTCGCACTACTCTCACTACGTCGAGATTGTACAGTAGAGCAGCTTGGCTGAAGGTCTTCCCGGAACCGGAAATTTTGGCGCCTGGGAAATGCAACTAGTCCCTTTAGGTCTAAGGCTGTCTAGAAAAAATCGGTATCTTGGTAAAGCGGTAGAGGTTATTTTGAAGCCCGCATATATAGGAAAATGTCAGTTCATCAGCAGTTAGCCCTCCCAGAACACTTCGCTTCAGGATATGAGTTGTCACTCGCACGATCTGCTGCTCAGAATAATCGGCCTATGGAATGCGGTAAAAGCCGATCAAAATTGAGGCAATGGCAGCCACAAAGTAATAATAATAGTCATAGGTTTGTAGCACATTTGTGGGGGATATGATAATCGAGGCTTGATCGGGTCTTTACAACATCACCGCGGTGGGCGACAACAGAAATGGGAGGAGGTTACAACTGATGAGACACTTATTACGTGAAGAGACATCGTTTTTAGCAGCTTAGGAAGAGGATGAAAGACGAGAGCAGCAACATCTGGTGGGTGTTGTGATGCATCAGATAAAACGGTTTATAAAAGAAAATAATAGTTGAATGGAGACGACAGCGAGCTAAATGAACTAGCTAAATGAATGAAAGCATGAATTTTTGTTTCCTGAAGTTCAGCTGCCAGTACCCTTCAAACGGACTTGGATGCTGCAAGTAGTGGTTTTTGGCCTGGCGCCTTCCTCTGAATGACAAAAAGTGCATCCAAATGTCATTTAAAGGAGACTCAGAGCACAGTGAGGATGAATCAGAAGATATCACGATCACGCGGAACCCATGAGAGA